TAAGAACTCTGAACGAGTTAGAACTCTGTGAATAGAGTTGTTAGAACCGAAAATTCGGTTAATGATCAAGCCGTTATTCTGTTGTTGAAGAATCCTCTCAGATTTGATCTTCTGAGCTTGATTCAAAAATCCTATCTTCAAGGATTTCGCTACTGCTGTTGAATCGCCGAACCTGAGTGGTTGAGGTCTTCTAAATCTGATCTTTGCTAATCCTTCTCTTTTCAAAGAGCCAGCCGCCAGCCCTTATCTGTTTTAGAACTCAAAAATCTCCAACCTGTATGGTTTAGATCTTTAGCATCCAACCTGTGTAGTTCAGATGCCAAAAATCCAACCCTTTGCTCTGTTGGGTTCGTTGAGCTTTCATAGGGGATAGGAGGTTGTAACTGACCCCTATATCCGCTCCTACGTGAGCGAAAATTCCTCAGAACGTGGGATAAACGGTTCTGAAACCGTTCGACTCATGTTTGAACGAGTCAAACGCCCAATCTGGCGTTTAGCACCCAACTTCGCCTCTTAGAATTGAGACGCGAGGTTGGGTGTTAGCTGGACATCATTGAACGTGAGGGTCGCTCGTGTTTTGGCTTGTTGCCTGCTTGGAAACGCGGGGGTCGGTGTTGGTTGGACTCCTACGAACGCGAGGGTCGCTCACGTTCAGCTTGTATCTTGGAGACGCGGGGGTCGGTGTTGGTTGGACCCTTACAAACGCGAGGGTCGCTCACGTTCAGCTTGTATCTTGGAGACGCGGGGGTGGCTTGGAAACGCGGGGGTCGCCTGCACTTCCCAAGTTATAACGCGGGGATGACATCCGCGTTTCAGAAGGAGTTTTTTGACTTGTAACTTCTTCTGTGAAGCGTTGCGAGGACCGTTGTTCAGTAATCCTGGCTTTAGCTGTTGTAGGGTATGAAAGTCGTCAGATTGTAACTTTCACCGTAGATTGTGAAGACTGCTGAATAGAGTTTTCATCAGTTGTCGGAAGTATCATTGAATTGTAACTCTTCTCGATCTATGTGAAAAGTCCTCTATTTGCCGCTTTCGATTGTCGACCCGAAAGCTATTTGATTGTAGCTTTCATTGTGAGAGCTTGACGGGAATCAACATCCATAGTGTTTTGAAGATGAATATTTGCCTACAGCTCTCTACCAAGCAACTCACCAATCTTTCATTTCTAAAATCATTACACTGCTCATCAGCATCTCCAATAATTGCTAATATAATATTAGTCGTGCTGTTGTTGCAGCCATCAAGATCAATCATCTCAGAGATGAGGTCGTGTTTGTGGCGATTGTGGAGTTACAGATGCAGTGATTAGAAAGTCGTCTGATTGTGACTCCCCTTGTCGGAGCTCGATAGGGGTCAGCTATTTATTGTGATTTTTAGACAGCCTACAAAGCTCTTGCTCTGTAGGAGGTAAACAATTAAGAGGTTGAATTGTTAAAACATCTTCCTCTTTCTCTAAATCATTCTCCTTATTGTAAAACTGCTGAGATGACTCCAACAACCATTTATCACCATCATTACCTTCACTAATCATGAGAGCTTTACCTCTATCATTCTCTCTTATAGTAATATCTTCATCAATGATCACAGGAGATAACTGATTCTTCAATTCCACAACAAAATCCTTATCTTTATCAACCTCTTTACTCAGATGTTTTCTAAACAAATCAACCTTCTCTTCAGGAAAGTTAAACTCTTCAACTTTATCCTTCTCCTTTTGAGAATTAGATTCAATTTGTTCATAAGGTATAAAAACTGACTGTTCCTTCATCTCTAAGTCAACCTCTGCAATTCTCCCCTCCTCCTTCTCAACCATATGCTCTACACCAACCAACTCATCAGAAGCAACAATTTGTTCAGGGATATGACCACCATCCAGTTCCTTTACAGAAATATTTTCCAACTTTTCCCCTTCTGTATTATTCTTTTGATAAAAATTCCTTGCTTCATTCCACAACCTAGCTGCTGGAGATCCCCATGGATTATTTCTCAAATCCTGTCTAACATTCCAAGAATTTGAATCAGAATCCTTCAACGATGAAGACCCAGTTCCACTATCTTTTCTTCCCTTAAACCATTTGTCATTATAAGAGCTTTGATTGATATCTTTCAAATTATCCACTTTTTGTTTCTTTTTTTTCTACCTCAACAAAGTCACCCATAACTAACATAACAACCACTTCCACATTATATTGATTTTTTCCAACAACAACCTTCAAAATATTAGGAATGTCAATATATTCCAAACATTTAACCAATAAAACTGCATCAACCAAAGCAGTACCAGCATTCGTCAATGAATCAAGCTCAAGTAAATCAGCAAAAGGCTGAACCATCAGCCCAAATGCTTCTCTACTCCATAAGTGCGACAGAACTCCTTTCAGATTAATCCAAACCTGAGCATTTCTTTTTTCAACTACATTTCCTTCCCAAGCATTCCATCTCCGAAACATAATTTTACAATATCTAAGAGTAATAACTCCCATCTTAATCAACTCCTCCATTTGTTTCCAAAGCTGAATTTTGACTAGCACTTCTCCATTAGTAAACAGTCGAACATCCCAATACTTGTTCATAGGAAAAAAGCTCTCAGATCAAGCTCCAACCTTTCTAGAGAAACATTACCCCCTTCAACAAATGAAATAATCACAAAATTTCTAAACTTTTGGAAATCAGAGTTTACCTCCCCTTCAAAACGAAGAATAGCAGTGGAAAAACGAGGGCGCTCACCAGAAATTTTCAATTCTGCTTCCAGATCTCCATAATCTCGTGGTCCCGTATCTTAAAACTGAGAAAATTTTTATTGTAACTTATTTTCGTCAACAGTTGAAAGAGATCTTTTACCTTTATTCTGATGAGGAACCACATCTTGATTTCTTGATGTTGAAAACGCTGATATCACCCTCTCCCGACGCAATTGCCAAGGATTTGCTCGGCCAGATCCATCACTTCTAGGGTTTTGCTCCGATCTACCCCCAATATCACTATTATTAGCAAATCTTCCTCCAAACTGACCTCTCCCTCCATTAAAACCAAGTCTTCCTCCTGGACCTCGACCCCTAACACCAGATCTGTTACAATTTCTGGCTTCATGACCAAAATCATTACATTTAAAGCATAGTATCGGATCCCTACAATTTTTCGCCATGTGATTTGCACCACCACAGCGAAAACAAAGACGATCTCTTCTAATATCCTCCGCAGAGACCAAACGATGCTGAACTTTTTTTCTGAACAAGGATGGAGACAGCGCTCTAGGGTTTCTCTTCACCACCTTTACCCATCCCCCTTCCTCATTCACCGCCGTTGATTCCACCAGATTTTTATCTAAACCAATCTCATCCGATGATTTTAACCTAACCGTAGTTAACTCGTCCACTGAAAAAGAATCCCCAGTTCCCAACAAAGGCTTACTGGGCTGCTCAGAAGTGGGCTTCGAAAAACAAGAGAAATTATCTTTGAAAGGCTCGCCCCAAATAAAACGAGCTACAAAATTTCTTGAATCAAAATCATTTAGCCCATTTACCATCAAGTTCATTTTCGATCCCATCAGAAAAAATTACCAAGAAATCAACAAGATCACCGCCAAAGTATCAAGAAAACAACAAAAAAGATCCAAGGAATCAACTCAACTCAGATCAATTAAAAAAACTCCAGCTAGATCACTTATCTTCGTCAAAACATCACTTTCTTCTCCGTCGAATCAACAAAGAAGAGGATCTCCAAATGATTTAATTCGAAAAACTAAACTCTAATTTCCCGAAGAAAACCAAGAAAACATCTAAGAATCACCGAAGAATCCAAAAGATTTAGTTCGAAAAATCAAACCCTAGCTTCCCTAAGAAAATGAATCACCAAAGAATTACCGAAGAATCCATAAGCTTTAATTCGAAAAATTAAACCCTAGATTCCCGAAGAAAACTAACCGCGAACTTGGTGTTCTTGTTTCTTGCTTCGCCTCGGCCCTTTCAAATAGTTCAAACTTTATAGGGGTATTTTTGTCTACAGAAAGATTTTTTCAAACTCGTGCTTTTAAAGGGAGTATGATATATATATATATATATA